TTCAAAATCTGCACCCAATTTACATTTAAAATGCAAATTCTCCTGAACTCAAATAGGTCTTTACTCTGGTAGTCAGTGTTGCTGCCCAGGCCTGGTCAACAAGGCCCTGAGGCTGGTAGTGACTTCTGTAAATATACTGCCACCTACTGGCAGCCACCAAACAGAACATGCTGGTCTGTGTCAGTGTGATCAGAGCCTGCAGTGGGGAACGACAGACGCCACCACACTAAAGGACAAGCACGAGCCAGCACACTTCCTCAGCGTGTATGTTTGACTTTGTTGTAATGAAACTGTAATGAGACTAGATTGTACAGTTTACCAGATCACACTATGGACACTAGAGCTATGGATTCATCACTGAAACACAGCAGGAGTCTCTGTTTAGCCAGATAAATAATCAGATCTGATGCATATTTATCATCTCAACACTAGTATTAGCATAACAGAGCGCTCTGATCATTAATTCAGTGTGTGGAAAAGGGAGGGAAACTGGGAGGTGAGAACATGTTACATAAATGTATGCCTCAGATGGGATTGCACTCATCAGATGAACAGTAAAAGAATTAAATAAATGTAGAATAACTGTAGAAGAGTACCAGCACAGAAGCTAAGCAATGCACTGCTGTGGGCAGGGGCAGCAACAACAAAGTCTTTTAGCCACAAAAGAAAGTCAATATCAGTTTAAGTGTACGCTATATTTAGAACATTTTCACTGCTTTACCGTGCCGTCACACAGCCCTTTCTGACTGGAAGCTGAAACAATAATATCCATCTACGCTTACTCCAAAGCCACCAGACTAAACCACATATAAAGGCTTCAGTTTCCCATCAGAAAGGCCTGTGTGACAGGTACTGGCTCCATGTTGGTTTCATTTTGTTGTTACAGCATGATCAATATAAATTGTTGCTAAAAGCCCATTTAGAAGTGAGACTGAAAAATGAAACTTTATACAACTAACATGAACTCAAAATAAATTTCAGGTCAAATTTACTAATTTAAGATTTTTTTCTTTCTGTCCATTCTTCACTTGCAAGGCTGAATTGAAGGTGAAAAAAACAATGGTAATCAAATAATGCAAAGTCCATTGCAAGCATGGAAAGTAGATTGTCTGTTGAAGTCAACAAAAGTTTCGACATTCAGCTGATGTGTTCACATTTAAAACATGTTAACTAGCTGCTGCCGGGACATGTGTCACGTTAACCATGTGCTGGTCTGTGCGAGTGCTGCTGGTGATGATGGTGTGTACCTGGAGTCTGCCAGGCAGTCATGCAGAGCTGCTGAGCCCAGACTGAGAGAGAAACAACACTGTTAGCATGCACATCACGGTGTTACACAGACAAAGCGGACAGAAAGGACATGAGAATCTCCTTCAGTACACAGTAAGATGATACGGAGCCCCCCTGGTGACATTGGATAAAACAAATAAATAATGCGTTGGGGGCTGGAGTTGGGGAGGGGTATAGGAGGAGTGGGGGCTTTGTGACTCTCTAAAATAGCTGTGTTTAACTATGTGCCAAATTATTGCACTTTGGCAATGAAAAATGTTACTTCCTGAATGAGCTCCTTCATATGGAGGTGTACATCTAACCAGTCATATGAATAATTCACAGTTTTGCCACATTGCCATCCTGTGTGACACCAAACCCCCTGCATGTATGCCTAGTAGATTTTTGGTCTACAGTCTAACAGGCTGAAATCAACTCAAATTATAATTATCAACAGATCACAGAGTAACAACTCAGGCCAACATTAAGGCTTAATTACATTAAGAAGTGCTGTCTTTACTAAGCTCCCTCATTAACACAGACTCATCCTCATAAACAGAGCCAGTGGAGGCAGAAAACGGCGAGTTTACCGTGTGGCTGCGGCGTGCTGGCCAAATTAAACACCACCTACTCAGAGACAGATTAGCACTGGATTATTCCATCTGTATGTGTGTTTGCAGGACAAAAAAAGTGTGCCAGCGAAGCAGGACAAAACGGGGACACAGCTCGTCACACAGACATACAGGTAGCCGTAGCCATCCTAATCTCCATAATCTGCTGTATTCAGATTACACAAAAAGATAAAAAAATCTAATCCAATCCCTCTAAATGAGGAGGGAGATTCCAACAGAGGTTCAGTCAGATTACGGCGGGTGATCTTGATTTTGCTGGGTTGGATTTTTCCTAGACCTTAAATTGGCATCTCATATGTTCAACCACATTAAGTATAGAAGAAACCAGCTGGAATACTTCAGACTAAGAGGATCAAATACTGAGCGTGTAACCAGGCAGTTCTATGGGGGACAGGTTTCTAAGGAGGGATAGTGCGTGTCTGTGCCCTCTAAGGGGCGGCTGTGGCTCAGAGGCAGAGCGGGTCGTCCCCCAATCAGAAGGTTTGATCCCCGGCTCCTCCTG